AAAACTCTGGGAATTATAGAAAAATATTAAAACTGTTAAAACTCTGGGAGTTATAGAAAAATATTAAAACTGTTAAAACTCTGGGAGTTTTGTTTTCATGAAACCTACAGACGTAAACACTTGATTCAATAACTATTTTAGAGCAACAAGAAGTATCCTGAACAACAGCTCTCTCCTTCATTCTCTACCCCCCCCTCCACAAACCCCTCACCCCCCCGGCGTCGACCCAAACCCGATCTTTCCATTACAAGACGTGGATAGTTGGTCTGCTTGAACTTGGCAGCTGTCCAGATTGTTGGGCGATCTCGACGGTTGACAGTTCTGAGCCCGACTCCTCTCCGCTGAATTCACTGTCCTCCCCCACATGTGAAGCCCCCGGGCTCCTCCTCGTTGTGGTCCTCCACACGTGGACCCCCCGGGCTCCTCCTCGGGCTGTGGGCCTGGGTATGACAGCCTGGTTAGCTCGGCTCTCACCCACACCGCTCCACCTGCTCCAGTGTCTCCATCACCGCTGCCTTCAGGGGCTTCAGTTCTCGGTTGTTTAGTTGAAATACCACGAAAATACTTTTTTTAATGAAACTAAACTGGAATGTCTTTTCGTCACTTCGATCGCTGTTATTTTGACAAATTGTCTCCGTTGTTTTGATACGTGACGTACGTCATGTGATTACCCATCAAACATTTCTCTCATTTTTAATAAATCAAAATTTTATTATTTATTATAGACCCACGTAAACTGCAAAACTGATTTGCAGCTTAGTTGTGCTGTTCAATTATATGTTTGTGTTTTTAATAAAATTGCAAATGACTGTACATTTAGGGGCGGACATTTTTTAAGGGTAGGAGCAGAAAAACTTTTTGACGTGGCGGCTCTGACGTGATATTAAGAAGCTCGTAAGTGGCTGTTGTGTTTAAAATGAGTGTTTATGTAATTATTTTCAGATTACATGTTTAATATTGGGTTTATTTGTTCAAGGCAGTCTAATGTATTAATAACTTTATTATTATTAAGCCTGAGAGTTACCAGATCCAAGCAAACAGTTAAGGGAGCGCACCCTGTCAAAATAAGAGCATGTTCATGCAGCATCCGGCTCAAATTAAGCCCCGGGGGGGGGGACTAACTTTACTTGTAATCCTTCTTGGTTTGCTCTCAGCTGGTCAGGTCATAATAAGGAAGAGTAACTGGTCTTATAGAAGCACAATACTTGTACCAAAAAGAAATGACGTGTAAAAGCTGTTAATTATGCTTTTTTTTAAAGTTTCCTCTAAAATCTTTAAAAATAAAAATAACACTTAACGCCCCACATGAAGCTGACTGAGCAGTGCCTCGCATCCTGATGCTCTGATTTACATGCGTGCTGTTCTATATTTCATATTCCCCCACCGTGCACCTCCTCACAAACAGCTGGGGGTTGAGGGCCTTTCTCAAGGGCATATTTGTGACGGTTTTTCAGGAAGTGGAGCGCTAGTTATCCTCCGCTTCTCGTTTGTGACTCTGAACTCGGTCTATTTGCTAAAAAGACATGCTTAAATTTTATATGTGTGGGTTCATTTTTGCACCTTCAGCAACAAATGTCGTCTGGCATTTTAAGTGCGCTCGGAGCACAACGGCGTGCTGCTTTCTGGTCCAGTTTATGACAGAGCTAACCACTTAAAGCTAACAACAAGCTGCATTTTGTGAGAGCAGCCAGTGCATCAGAATGAGCTGCAGCTGCTGAACATAAATTGAGTTTCTCACTCTGGCTCCATCTCCACAGCCCACAAAGACGACATTAGCACTGAAGCATCGCCCTTCACTGCTGATTTAATTAAGTATCCCTGCAATGCCTTCAAGAAACCACAAGAGGAGCTCAAAGTCAACTGGAGGTCTGCGTTTGGGACTTCCACTCTTGTTTTCTCTGACATGAGCAAGAAGCCAACGCCTGTAAACTCTGCGCTCTCTCCAGCCGGCAGTCATTTGAATTCCTTGGCGGCAGAACGAGGTTTATATAAAAACAGCTTTTGCCAAGGGACAACAAGCCCCAATTACGCCTCTGGTGGCTGGCAGAGGCAAAGTGCCGAGCTCTCCAAAAGGGAATCGCTGGCCTCCTACAGTCACCCATCTAAGAAAATGAGAATTGATCACAGCCTCTTTCCCAGTAACAACGCTCAAAATGAAGCCCCCAACTCCGGGTGAGTGAATCTCTTCTTAGTTGGCTATTCATGAACAAGTTTATAATAAGAAAAGTTTTTTGCAAGTTCAGGGAGATGTGTGTGGGTTTAAAAAAAAAAACCTCTTGCTGTGGAATTTTAATGCAACATTGTTAAGATGGTTGTGACAAACAGCGGCAGGAAGACATGCTGAATAAAACCATCATTCCACGTGCCTGGGAAGAGGCCGCTCGTTGGCTGAGAAGTGCTGCTGCGACAGGTATTCTTGTTTTAGTGACAACCATCAGACGGGTTCTCCACTTCTCTCAGAATGTGCCAAATACAGACGCCAAGTGCTGCAACCTCCTCCACTCCCACTGGCCCTTGTTGTGCATCCCATCGTCGTCCAGCTGTCCTCAGAGTGGTCCACAAGGAGGGGGACAACAAGGGACGGCGTTTCTACACATGCTCTCTACCAAGAGAGACCAAGTGCAACTTCTTCGAGGTGACTCTGGACACGAACACTGTTTCTGTGGAACTGGGTTCATTTGTAAAAAAATAAAAAGTCAGGTCCTCTGGACGCATCTTCTTGTTGAAACGTTTCGTCTTTTGTCCAAAAGACTTCTTCATTCATACCATCTGCTCACACAGACTCGTGTTCAGGCTGCTGTTGATACGCCATATTGTTTTATTACTGTTTACTGTATATCTTAAACCCTTAGTGTTGCTTTTTATACTTTATATTTTTACTATTTTTGAGTGTAACTGGGAACCTGAGTACATGATTTTGTTCCATCTCATGTGATGCAAATTAAAATATTTTCCTTGAACTTCTTGAGTCTGAGGAGCTGCAGCAAACTCAGTCTTATAAACATCACCTTCTCATGGTGGATCAACCAGTTTGTTGTTTGCATCCAGAACCAGCTGTTCACTTGATGGAGGACCAACAAGCTAACAACTGATCGTTAGTGCTCTGATGGTCACTTGCTATTCACAGGGGGTTGAGTGATACTAGCAATCACAGCATTGTAAGAGGGGGACAGTTGGACACGGAGGCTCCGCCCCGTTTAATGATGGACAGTTTCTCTTCACAAAGATGGCCTCCTTTACTCCTCTTTCAAACCATCGTTCCTCTCTGTCCAGGATGTGAACATCTTCATCCCTGAACGAGTGACCTCTGACCTGGAGACGAGTGTAGACCTCAGAGTCTGAGGACCGATGGTTTGAGAGAGGAGTAAAGGAGGCCATCTTTGTGAAAAGAAACCGTCCATCATTAAACGGGGCGGAGCCTCCGGGTTCAACTCTTACAATGCTGTGGTTGTTAGTATCACTCAGCCTCCTGTGAATAGCAAGCGGTCATCGGGGCACTAACGATCAGTTGTTAGCCTGTTGATCCTCCATCATGTGAACAGCTGGTTCTGGATGCAAACAACAAACTGGTTGATCCTCTGAGAAGGTGCTATTTATAAGACTGAGTTTGTTGCAGCTCCTCAGACTGAAGAAGTCCTTTGGATAAAAGATGAAACGTTTCAACCAGAAGAATCCGTCTGGAGGACCTGACTTTTTTTTTTTTAGGTTTTTCTAGCAGCGTCAGGATAACTGGGTTCATACTTTGATTATTAACCTATTAACAAATAAATCCTAAAGCTGAGTTGAATATGTTTGCACTGTTGCAGTGGGCTGATTTGCACTTCCCGTTCTGTCACCACGGTAAACGCTGTTTACTGAGGACGGTTCTGAAGCTGGGTCCGAACAACGGACGGGCGTTCTACACCTGCAGCCTTCCAAAGGGTGAACCGTGCGACTTCTTCCAGTGGGCAGGGAGCGGACCAGGCTGCTGACGCTCATCGGCTGCACACCGGTTCATTTACATTCAGCTTTCTACACATGTTGCTCTTTAAAACTGGATTACTTTATAATAAACTGATCTTCAAACCATGATCCACCACATTATTTATCTAATAAAGACTGTTGGTCACCTGGAAGATGTGATTACATTTGATCTGAACAAGTTAAAGCAGAAATAGTCCATGCTCCTTTTTAAAATTGATTTATTAATTCAAACAAAAGAGGGTTACAAAAAATTATTTTAAAAGCAATCTACAGACTTGAGTGTCGGCGTGTCCGACTGAGGGTTTGACACCATGTAGTGAAACTCTGCGAGGCTGGGGGCTTTGTTACACGCTGCACCTGAGAAAACAGGAAAACGGGCTCCGTCATGTTTTCTACAGCTGTAAAGTGAAAGCAGCCGTTACTTTTTAATTTAGCCGTGTCATTTACATGTTAATGTATTTCACATGGAGCAGAGTAAGCGTTCTATATGCACCAAAAATAATGTAAATATAATTTCAGAGAAGCTGCATGTTGCTATTCAAAGGTGAAACAAGCTAAGAGCTGCATAAAAAGAGAAAGGGTGTGCCTCTATCTGCCAGAGGGATTACTAAATGTATCACTGTTGCCATGAGAACCACATTTCTAGGCTGAAATAGATTTTGTTTGAGCACTTCTAGAGAAAAATGGATGAAAACCTCCCAAACAGGAGACAGTTTGATGCATCTTGGGGAAGGCTGAGGTCTAGTAACCTTTAAACAAAACACAAATCAATGCAATTAATGCCTGGCCTTTGTTTAAAAAAAGGTCAGGCATTAATTATATTAACACTAAGTTTCAAAGAAAACATTCTGAAGGGAGATTCATACACTCTTCAGCCATAACATTATGTCCACAAAGATGTCCTAATGAGAAGAAGGCCTGCGCTGTGACATCACATGGATACAGAAAAGATTTTAATATACTTGGATCTCTTTTTTTGCTCAACAAAACGTGTCCGTTTAGGCTTCATTTACACAGAATCGTCCTCTTTTTCCAAGAAGCCCACCAACACCCGCACTATTCGGTGATAATTCAGGATTTTTTTCTCGGCCCCAGTGGATTTGCATCATTACCTTTGGAGAGGAAAAAAAAAGCAGCAGTCTGCATTTGTGAACCCACACACTCACCATAATGGCCTGTTATGTTAGCACAGATTATGGCTCCAAAGAAGTCAGAGTAATGCCTCTTGATTCTGGAAATAGCCGACTTGCAGGCTGCCGAGGGATCAGCCCCGGCCCTCATCAGCTCCACGGCCAAGTAACTGTTGGCAAGATGACACGGAGACGACGTAAGGCCAACTAACAAGGGCTGTCAAGGCCACCAACCAGGATCATGATAATGATGCTTTCAGAATAATAATGATGAAAAAATAAAGCTGAATAGACTTGGGGGGGGCAAATTGCTGTGATTTATCTTGGCTTTTAAATGACTCGTATCATCAGTATCATTACCTCCGTGAGCATGGGGTCAACTGCACGAACAATAAATTACATTTCAAATCGACTATTAACAACAAAACACATTATTAGACATGAAAAGGAAAATGTACACAAACCTTCCAAATACTTAAAGAAACAACTGGACTCCTGTAACTAAAGACAATCCACTTCTGGGGAGTTTTCAAGCTCAAAGCTTTTTATTTTGACTGCAACGAGAGAAACTGCTTCTTTTATGAATTAGGCTGAAAAATGGTTGAAATGAGCAAAAAATGTGGAAAAAGCTAAAATTTGTATAAAACAGAAAAAGCTGAAACTTGCTGAAATTGGCACAAAGAAGTTAGAAGCACAAAAATGTAGTTAGCAGAAAGGATCAAAAAACAGCTGAAAAACAGCTCAAATTAGCTAAAAGTAGTAGATTTTTTTTTTTTTAATAATTAACACAAGGAAGCTGAAGCAGAACAAAATGTGAAAGGAGCAGGAAAAGTTTTTAAACAGATGTGAAGGATGTAAAATGAAATCGGTTCATTTTCTATGAGAGAAAAAAAATGGCAGAAAAGGCTAAATATTTCAAGAAGCTAAAGTTGCACCAACACCAAACTTCACAGCAGGATTGTCCTGAAAGAGCCGAACGTTTCGATTCATGACTTGTTGAAATAACTTGAAAACTGCCGGACAAGAGGCGCGCCAAAAAATGTACGGAAGAAAAATGGATCAAATAATACTTGATAAGCATTCAGACAACTACCGGTAAACAGATTTCAGCTTGACCCCCCCCCCCCAGTTTAATTGAATCTCCCTTAATAAGAAGTGAAACGTGTTTAAGTATAAAACAGAAGTCCAGATGTTTTGTTCTTTTAAATCTGCACCAACAGACACAAATCTTCTCTGAATACTTTATCACGTTTTATACTGGACTCTTTATGGCAAAGTGTACTTTACATATTAAACTTGGAAAAGGAGCCGGGATTTTTTTATTTTATTTTCAATGTGGATGCTGGTCTGCAGAAAGCCTAAACCACTCTAATAAAAATATTCTGACTTGTGGGAGAAACGTGGGCACAAATGAACACAACTCAGTCCACTAATAACAAGGTCCTTTTGAAAAAGCTGATCTAGTTCCAGGAAACGAGTTAAAAATAAAACTGAAATCGACAGCCCTCACACGTGTGTCCTTTCAAAACTAGCCTAGAAAAATAAAGCTTTCAGATAAGCAAAAACATTTTTGTGGCCTTAAAAAAGCACAGCTTAAGTGATATTTTGCTGCTTTGTGCCGTGTGCAGATGACAGTTTTAGGGCAACGTAGCCATGTCTTGTTTTTTTCCTCCAACACTATTTATGCACACGGAGCTCAACGCTGATATTAAAGTTAGCTGTTAAAATCTACACGTCACAAATGTCAATTTATTCTCCATTTTTTATTATCAAGAGAAAACTAAACACAGCAGTCCCTTTTCACATACTAGTTGGTAAATAGCGTCAGGCTGGAGAGTGTGGAGGAGTTTGGATTTTGTCAACACGTGGAATTGGTTCAGCCGAGTACGTTTGACTGGCAGGAACCTATTCTGATATACAGAAAGAAAAAAATAAACTTTAACTGAAAAACAAAAGTTTTGTGTGGATATACTCCAAGAAAGAAAATGTTTATTGCAGAGAAAGTTGTTTAAGTGAATTTCAGTTTCTTTGTGGTCTTAAAAAATGTTGTTGTTTTTTTTTAATTATTGCACACTGTTCCGTGTTTTGTGCAGTCCTCCAGGGACACAGAAAGGAAATGTACATTTCATTAGGAAACGCGGTCAAAGCACCTGGGTAGAAAGCGCATCATGATGTCTCCATCTCCTGTAGCTGCAGCAGCACCAGCTGAACTGTCTGCATAGGCCCCCGCACCGATGATCGGGGAGTCCCCCACACGACTGCACGAACAGAACATGAACCATGTCACAAAATAACTAACAGCATTACTTTATAATTACTATATAATTACTGTATAATTACTGTATAATGGTCAGAAATCCAGCACTTCTTTAGGTCTAAACCAGGCGTGGACAACATGTGGTCCAGGGGCCGAACGTGGCCCTTGGGCTCTCCCATCTGGCTCATTTTATACTTAATGACCAAAATGAAAACAACTTTTAACTGAACCTGCATTTTATAAATAAAACTCAAGTGTAAATCAAACATCTTGGACAAATAGATCTAAAACCTTTGGATTAAGCCTGAACCTTAGACTCTAAAAAGCAAAGATGCAACTTTGTATTTCTCATAATTCGGCTAACAAATATGTTGTCACAAGAGCCGGGTTACAGAAAGTAAAGTTCATTCCTAAAGAGTTTTGGAAAGATCATCTGGGCGGTTTCTTTTTATGTTGAGACGTTTCGTCCTTCATCCAAAGGACTTCTTCAATCAAAGGAGCCACACAAACAAACTGATTCCCACAAACGGCATACTCCATAGTGGAAAAAAAAAGTTTGCTGGTGCCAAGATGGCCTCCGGAGCCCGTCCTCTCCTCTGAGACCGTCATGCCAAAGCACGTCTGCATTGGTTTTTCCCAGGAACGTAGCAGCTGTTTAAACTTAACGACTCAAACGTAGAACGTCTGCACGGTTTCATCACCCTAAGGAAAAGCAGTAATGTTTTTTGCCTGTTTGTATTGTTAGCAAAATATCTCATGAAACCACGGGACGGATTTCAATAAAACTCACAAAAAGTAACAAGGTGCACATCTTCAACTTTAGAGTCAATCTAATTCAAGATGGCCACCAGGCTAATTGACCGTAGCTAACACAAAAACGGCTTTACCTAATTAAATTTACCAGACCAGCTAAGGGTTAATTATCTTTAACTGAGCATGTGTTTAAGTTCCCATCCTCCCTTCGTGCCACTACAGCAGAGTGAACTTTAGAAAAAGCCCTTGATGTCTTTTCTCTCATTCACTACAATTTGAGCTTTTAACTGGTAAATGATAAAAAGATGATTTACATATCTAATAAATGAAAGCATGGGCCCTGCAGCGTCATAAATCATTTCAGATGATGCAATCATCATGTAAAGTGTTTGCATCTGAACTCAAGAACATAAAGTTAGATCTCATGATTTAAACCTTTGCGGGACAGTGTTTGTAATTTAAATATTCAGTTTAAATTACAGGACATCCATTAAGAGATCATCACCGTTGCAGATATTGAGTACCTTTGATCTTCTTCACGTGTTTTGGTTTCATTTAATGAAAAGTTTTAGTTTCATGGATAAACTACACGATCATTTCATTTTAATTAAATAAACAAAACTGGCTGTCACTTCCTTGAGTTAAAGTTTTTAGCCCCTATGGATTTTTACCTTTACACACTTTACTTATCAAGCACGATTGAAAGAAGTTTAAAAAATAAAAATAATAAAAGACAACTGGTTTTATTTATTTATTTAAACTGTTATCCATTAAATGTTGACTGTCCTGTACAAGACATTATGAATTACTGGGCAGCTTTAGGTGTCATAATAACTTACTGAAAGGTTTTCTCACCAGACTGTCAGAAATAAAAAATGTTTCCAGAAAAGTTTGGATGAATTGAGTTTAAGTGTTTTGAACCACTTTGACAGGACTCAGAGGAGTTGACGGGGGAGAGGGCGGGTCTGGAGGCCATCGTAGCACTAGCAAACTGGTTCTTTCCACTATGGAGTATTCTGTTTGTGGGAATCGGTTTGTTTGGTGGCTCTTCAGATTGAAGAAGTCCTTTGGATGAAGGATGAAACGTCTCAGCAAAAAGACAAAACTGTCCAGATGACCTGACTGAACATTGTTGGATTTTTACCTGGATTAATGAACTTTGGTGTATGAAGAGACTCAACAGAGGAAACTCAAAGGGACTGAAACGATGTCTGGGAAACCGTGACTAGAACTGGTCTAAGCCCGGGCTAGGATCGAGCTTGGTCTGGTCTAAGCCTGGGCTAGGATCGAGCTTAGTCTGGTCTAAGCCTGGGCTAGGATCGAGCTTAGTCTGGTCTAAGCCTGGGCTAGGATCGAGCTTAGTCTGATCTAAGCCTGGGCTAGGATCGAGCTTAGTCTGGTCTAAGCCTGGGCTAGGATCGAGCTTAGTCTGGTCTAAGCCTGGGCTAGGATCGAGCTTAGTCTGGTCTAAACCTGGGCTAGGATC